ATCCCTGGTACAAAAAAAAAAAAAAAAAAAGTTCATACATTTTTTACACCTGAATCCCACTGTTCAACAAAATGAACACCACATAGTGCATACTTATCAAATACTACTGAATTAATAATTTCAGAGAACGAAGGAACTTTAGTGATCATTTAGCCATAGTTCTCAATTTTCAGTATTCATCAAAATCACTTGTGGGGCTTAAGAAATATACATATGCCTAGGTCTCCCTATTCCTCCTGCTTAATACTCCAATTCAACTGTTTGAGGGTTGGGCCCAGAAATGCATTTTAAAAAAGCTTCCCAGGTAATTCAAATATGGAACCAAAGCTGAGAACCATAAAAGTATCATCAATAAAAATCCATTTTCCTAATTTCATAAAAGAGGAAAATGAACTTTGATAGGTGTGTTGTACTATCATGATTGGTCATTAGCAATCTAAACAGGAACTTTTTTGATTTTTGAGTCCAATGGCTTTGCCTTATACTTCATATATTTTTCCAACCAACACGATATTTTATAAAGAGATTAGAGTATTTTAGAGAAGATAATGCAGATTAGTTCTGTATGGAGCATGCTATTCCTTTCTAATAAGAGAGGGATGTATACAGTAGAAAATAAAAACAGAACTTGTGGGTTTAGTGAATGAAAGCAGGATTAGCAGAAATGGGATAAGAGGTAAATTAGTTTATTAGTGCTATGCAATCCTGTGATGCTTAGCATATCCTTTCATAAAAAGGATCATGTGTCTGGAAGATTTTAGCTTTACAGTTAACTGTAGGACTCACTAAGCTGGGACAAATCAACAGAGCATGGAGCTAAATACTGTAATACTGCCTCATGCAATTACAGTTGTTTCAGCAAATAAATCCTTGATTTACTGATTAGAATACAGCTTTTGTTTTTCAAATAAAAAATCTATGATATAAATTAACACTAGCAAGAGTATCCCCTCACCCCCTAAATACCTGTCTGGCCAAAAACTTATTCTGGATTTGAAATCACTTGCAATCACTGTGCACAGACTGGAACAAAATCTTTATGTGTTACTACACAGATTTCCATGTTCTGCTGCTATATTATGATCCATACCTAGCTGGTCATGAGGTGTGCCTCTGAAGAGAATTCTGTACGTGGTGAGGAACAAAGCTCCTTCTGCTGGCAGGAGCTGAGGGCCTCCAAGAAGACCTCCAGTGGCTTCTTCTCTGCCATCAGGATCAAGCAGAACTCGAAGACCTTCACATACAATTTCTTCTCCTGGCAGCAGAGCAGGTCTTAGAATCTTGGGCTAACAACAGAGAAAAGTATCTTAAATACAATTTTAGACCATTTATGGTCTTAAAAACCATAAACTACACTTCCCAGGTAGCCAAGTGACAAAACAAATTTGGGAAGAAGAAATGAACTTTCTGCATCCAAGTTTGAAAAGATTCTTTGCAGTAAAATCATTGGGAAATATATAAATGTTTGAAAAATCCAGTCAGTGCGTTATTTTCCAAACTTTACAAAAATGTCATAGATTTCTAATATTAAAATAAATAGAAGCCCAGAATACATTGTAAAGTTAAAAAGGAAACTGCAAATTAGTATGTACCTTATGATCCCATTTTTGGAAAAAGAAAAAAGAAGAATATGACCAACTTGTTAATGGTAGTGTTATAGGTTAAAGGTAAAAGTAGAGGTGGGGATGGGGCAGGGAAGACTGATGGGGGAGCTTTTCATTTTGTACAATGTATATTTATTTTATTCTTGAATTTTATAGAGACATTATTAGATTTGTAAACTTTAAAAAAAATGGATTCGTTTTTAAAAAGATCTGTCTTTCTTGTGGGATGTGGTGGTGTACACCTATAATCCGAGCACTTGGAAGGCTGAGGCAGGTGGGTTGCTATGAGTTTGAGGCCAGCCTAGGCTACATAGTGAGTTCAGGACCACCAGCCTGAACTGCATAGTGAGACCTTGTCTTAAAAACAAAAATCTGTCTTTCTTGACCAGGTAATAAATATTTATATTTTATACATCTTGAAAAATCCTGACTCAGTATCCTTTATATGAAGAACCACATCATATATTCCTCTGAAGTGATTGGGGCAAAGAAAAAAAATCAATTTTCCTGAAGACTTAATATATAATTTTACTAATAATAAAATAAAAACTATATAAATCAGCACTACTCTCTTTTTGGGGAAGGAGGTATTGGGGATCGAACTTGGGACCTTGCACTTGCGAGGCAGGCAGTGGAACCACTGAGCTAGATCTCCAGCAATTAGCACTATTCTTTTTGCTGGCTCTAGGGAGCTTAGAGCTAAATGTAAAGCCAAAATATAATTATCCCTGTCTTAAGTTTCTAGTAGAATTATTTTTCCTACCTATCTGAGTTCTGAATTCTCCTTTGAATTAATAGCTTTGTTTTTATAGGCAGGAGAGTCCTGAACCCTAGTCCACATATTAGCAGCAGAATAATCATCTGAGAGGCATGTTAAAATACAGATTTCCAAGGGCTGAAGATGTGGCTCAGTGGTAGAATGCATGCCCTGGAATATCCAAAGCCCTGGGTTGGAAGCCCAGCACCAAGGATGATAGGGTGGGGAGAAGAAAAATACACACTTCCAAGCCATGTTTCAGGGCATTCTGATACAGAAGGCTGAGGCAGGGTTGAGGACCCTAAACTTTTAGGAGTCCTCAGACGTGATGTATGGTCAGATTCAAGAGTCTTGTGCTTTTGTGGTAATTGTATTATTTTTGTTTTGGAAGTAGGCTGGACATAAAATCTTAGGTTGGGCTTGAAAGTCAGAATTAATCATAATTTCTGCCCTGCCTATAAAAGTACATTCAACAAGATGTTGTTATTGCTCTTTTATTGAATCCAAGAAAGGATACTGTTCCCATTTCAGTTTGCTTTTTATAAGGTTCTACAGGACAAACTCTCCTCTAAGTTTAATGTACGATTAAAATTGCATTTGTAAAAGGTTAAGACAAGGTACTTTCTGGAGCACAATAGTCTATTGTTACTATTTTTGAGAAGAGATGTTATACCCTGAAAGGATGCTATCTAAAATAATTACCTTCTGTATAGGTGGAAGTCTTCTACTCTCACGATGCACTGCTTCTAGGGTCTCAATGTGCATAGCTACAATTCCTAGGATGGGTCAGAGTACCCAAAACAAAAGAATGTGAAACAAATTTCAGATATTTTAGAATTAAAAGCTAATGTAAATTTGGTAGTTCTTAAAAAATTTAAATATAGAATTACCGTATGACCCAGAAATTTCACTCCTACATATATACAACAAAGAAGTGAAAATAGTACTCAGATACTTATATGTAAAATCTCACAGTAGCATTAATAATTCCCAAAAAGTGGAAACAACCTACATGTCCATCAACTTGATTCAATAAACAAATTAAGTTCTGTTATTGGATAAACCTTGAAAATATTATGTTAAACGAAATAAACCAGATGCAAAAGTTGAAATATTGTATGGTTCTACTTATATAAATCTCTACAGTAAGTAAATTCATGAGAAAGAAAGTAGATTATGTCCACAGGGGGTTGGGGGTGGGGAAGTAGGAGTTACTACTTAATGGTTACAGAGTATCTATTTGGAGTGAAGAAAAAGTTTTGGAAATAGTGGTGATACTTGCACAACATTGTGAATATAATTAATGACAGTGAAGTGCATACTTAAAAATGGTTAAAATGGCTGGGTGTGGTAGTGCATGCTGTAATCCCAGCTAGCCAGGAGGCTAAAACGGGGATTGTAAGTTCAAGGCCAGCCTGGGAAGTTCATTGCAGCCCTGCATCAAAGACAAAACAAAACAAAGCAAAACAAAACATTAAAAAGAACTGGTAGCTCAATGGTAGCATGTCCCTGGTTCAACCCCCAGATGGCTAATTTTGTGTTATATATGTTATTTATGCTACCATAATTTAAAAATATTTAAAATAACAAATCAGAAAATAAACAACTAGCATGGCTAAACTACATGATAGATAGGTATTATAGGTCTTATGCTGGAAAACTCTATCCTGATTCTCTAATATTTGCAAAGTGATTACCTGGTATCATACAGTGAAGGCTCTTGATGTGATCTTGAGTAACTCCACTTTCTGTACAAACCTTGTCAATAAATCGGGTAATGAACCGTACAACAGAATTAGCAATGTCATTATTCTCTGAATCTTCAAACCCACTCTCTGTATCATAGCTCTCAGCCACACTGCCAGCAATACTAAGAAAGTCAAAGAAAGAAATCACAGTCAGCATTCAAATGCAATAAATGACTACTATATCACAATGAACAGAACTGAAACTTGCTCCAACAGACAGATGTACAATCAAGTAGGCAGGGCTCACTTAACTCCAAAGCTCCTTATAAATGACAATGGTGAAATATGTTCTACTTGTCTATATTTGTAAACTACTGTCAGATCCTTTAGACTCAGACTTGTTTCTGTAAAGAAGACCTCTGTCACTCTCCCAAAAGTACTTAGAAACTACAGAAAATAAAAAGAGGACTCTTTCATTTATTATCTGCTACCTGAATCTTCTAAAATAAAGTTAATTACTACACAGAACCAGAAAAAGTACATGTCTATCTTTGCCAAAAAAAAAAAAAGTCTCTCTTTGGCAATTGGGGAACATTTATTGTTGTAGGAGAAGTAAAATAAGTTTCTTCAGTAACTTGCATATTCTTCTATATGGAAGGACCAAACTATCCTATGGCATATTTTCTTGCTAGAATGTCTCTCTGAATCATAACTTTTTGGGCCACAATGATCCCATAATTTTTCTGTAGGTGATAAAAATCATGTAAGAAAAAAAAACATTTGAAATGGAGCATATGTGAAAGCTTAATCCCTATTTGTATTGCTTATTTCAGCTCCAACTATTTAACAAATTGGTTGCTATTCACAGCAAAGAATCATTTGTTTGTTCTAATCTATTCCTCTTTCTTCCACAGCCCATCACTTTAAAGGAATCAGTATTAAAGTTAACCAGTATGGCCACTGTACCATCCTAAGCCATTAAAGAACTCAGGTGCCTTAGGCACTCATTATACACTAAAACAGCATGATCACCTAGACTGACAACTTTAAAAGAAACCAAAACTGTAGTTATTTACAGTCATAATGGTTATCAATTTGATTAGCAGTGGGAACAAAGCTGGGTATAGATTAAGGAAGTTTTCAAAAATTAAGTAGATTAATTCAGAATCCACAAAACAGTCTTGTGGGAATGTGACCAGTAAAATAATGTGAAAGCATCATTTCAGTAAGAGTCTTTTGGCAGCAGGGTAGATAACTACAGAAAGAAAGAAATTTAAAAAAAAAAGGAAGCCACTAAGAAATTATTATAATACTTATGGCTTGAAGTAATAAGGGCCTGAGCTATGTTGGTCATATAAAATAACCAAAAGAGGAAACAGAAATCACACAGGAAGAATGAAAGAAGAGCTTTGTACAGATGAAAGAAGAGCTTCATATATGTGCAAATTGCTGATACCAGGTTATCTAGCATGGAAGGCCAGAAATTCTGAGGTATTCTAAAACAAAACAAACAAATAAACAAACAAAAAAACCATTTGGGGTAGGAGGAGTGAGAGGTCAGGGCCAATGATTCAGGCTTACTGAAGGAGCTTTCTGATAGAGTACAATGACCTTTGACGGAGGACAGAGAAGAGGAGCCACCTGAAAGAGCCTGGTAAGAATTTATGAGAGCTAGAAGAGTACCAGAATGTTACAGCATTCACCCAAGAAAACTCAAAAGAGATAGAATTTTATACTGTTCAGGTAATTAATTCATTTTTTCATTCATTTCATCATCTGTCCAACCAAATACTGAGTAACTATTACATGCAAAGATGCTAAGGATACAGTAATAAACAAAACAAAGATAATAAGCAGATACAGGAAAATAAATCATATTATGGAAAATGCCATGAAAGAAATAGAATGGTGGGAGATAGAGTGACAGAGATGATACTTAGAGAAATCAGGAGAGCCTCCCTGTATAGGTGACAATTAAGCAGAAACTTGCATGAAGAATTCTGGGAAGATGGTGGAATAGTGCGCAGCAGAGAAACAGCCTCTTTCCTATTTGGAATCCAGATGCTGGAATATAGCAATGTGAGAAAGAGAAGGAAGAGGAAAGTGGGTCCCCAGGATTCAGCAAGGATCTGAAGTGAGAATGAGAGTGAAGAGAGGGACAACAATGCGCAAAATGGGCTTTCTCCCTGAGTCCCAACTCACAGCGTGGGAGGGGTGGCTTGAATCTGCAGAAGCTGGTGATAACTGGCAACCCAGAGGCCTCCACAGAGAAATGCACCAGTAAAATGGAGCAGTGAACACTAGAATTCAGTGGTTGGTGAGTTACTCAGGTAACCTGCACCTTTGCTGAAGCAACTTTTTGTTTACACAGTGGTCTTCAACTCTCAGCAAGGCACTGAGAGGCCTTTCCTCTGCTGTTCAACACTGCCAATTCAAAGGTATCTGGGTGGGCTTCTGGCTTTTGCTCGTGTACCTGTGCAGCTCTTTTTGAGGTGGGGGTCTCTGGTTGAGCCTGTGGGCTCAAGCTACTAGCATCTTGGTTGGGCCTTAGCTGGGAACTGCCCACACCTGTGCCGCTCTGGTCAATGCAAGCTTGGCACTGGAAGCTGTGGGCACTTAGATGGTATGTGGGTAGGCCTCTGACTATTGCTTGTGTGCCTGTGCAGCTCTTTTCCAGGCTGGCCCTTGGCTGGAACCTGTGGGCCCAAGCTACGGGGGTAGGGGTGGGGCCCCAGCTGGGACTGGCATGAACATGTGCAACTCTCCTCCACACACAACCTCTATATCTTGATTGTTTGTTCTTGTTTTTATACAAATAAGAACACTGTTTCTCATTTTTTGTTTCGTTCTATTTTTGCTTCTCTTTCTACCTTCTTTGTTTTCCTCCTATCTTCAACAGTTCCTAAAGCTTGTATAATCTTCCTGTTCTTCAGCCTTGCTTCTAATCCTTTTCTCTTCTTTTATATGTTTTCTCCTCTAACCTCAAAAATTTTCTTTCCTGAGGGTAAAATGACCATACTCACTGATTTTACTGTATAAAATTTTCTAGTCTGTTTTAGGTTTTATTTATTATATAAGTACAAATCCTGTTCTTATAGCTAAAGGTGGCAAATTAATAGTTATCATGGTTTGTCATTTTCTAGGCTGCGTTTGATGCTATTGTTATTACTGATTATATGATTTTAGCCAAGGAGACACAATTTTTCTAATCAGTTATTCCTCCTTGCATGACAAGACAGAGTCATAAATAATACTACAGGTCAGTGCCAAAGAATTAGGGGCTAGCTCAAAAAGTCAGCAACTTCCCATCTATAATAAAATGAAAGTAGGATCTTGCAACAGAATCAAAACACAAAAGCCAATTATACCTGGAAGACATCTCTGAAAAGTAATTTCCTCAGGGTTCTGATGACATCAATAAAGATACGTACCACAGGGCCCGTGATTTAGCTCAGTGGTAAGAAAATTAAAAATACCAGAACATCATACCTTCTAAACTGTTGGCTTAATAAAACAGTGGGGAGGACTGGGAATTTAGCTCAGTGGTTCCACCACCTGCCTTGCAAAGGCAAGGTCCCAAGTTCGACACCCAGTACCAAAACCAAATCCAAAGCCAAAAACAAACAAACAAAAACTACCATAAACAATTTATAAGCATCAACCCAGGAATTAAACTAAAAATATATAGAAAATGAGAAGACACAGAAGCAAGATGCAACTCCAGGTTTCTAGCCCACCAAAGGCAAACCCAAGGGGCAATGAGGTAGAACAATTTGAAAGCCACCCACCTGGAACCTCTGTAACAGTGAAAGGAACAAAGCAAATGAACGAGGCTCTAAAAAAAAAAATCAAATCAGAAATAATTTCTCAGAGATGATGGTCATAATGAAGGGTATATAGTCAATATAGAGTAGAAACTTTAAAAAAGATAGCTCTCAGGAAAATGATGGAAAGCATGAATGGCCTACATACGAAAGAAATGGAATCAATGAAACAGATTCAATCAGATATCCAGGAGGTTAAAAATTCCACTGAAAGTATATGCAGATGAATGGCAGATGAATGAACCAATGTAATGACAGAATATCAGATCTAGAAGACAGGATTGCAATTACTGATCATGAAAAAAGATTTCTTAAACATAGCAAGGGAGAAGGTCTGGGGCTTTAGTTCATTGGTAGCATGCCTGCCTCAAGATAGGTTCTGAGTTTGATTACTGATACCAAAACCCCCCCAAAAAACAAAAAACAAAAAACAAAAACAAAAACCAGCAAGAAACCACAAAATATCAATCCAACAGCTGCTAGATGATTCAGGAAATAATATAAGATTGATGGGAGTCAATGAAAAAGCAGGAGATAGCACAAGGAACCTAAAAAAAAAAAAAAATTTTACCGAAGTAA